TGCCCATCTCTTGACACACACCCTTGATACCAGGGTACGTGTAACCCCGTTACATTATACAGCTCGCAAATTGTCATGATCCATGCCGTTTGTGGTCGATCTCGGTCTGCCTTCTTCGTTTCTTAGACTACTGCGTCGAAATTTTCCTGCGCACTGAGTAAGGTGTTACTCGCCTTCTGTCGACGTAAAAGTCATGCTGAATCCGTCTTTATCATTTAAGTGACTATTCGTGAGAGCGCTCATTCTCGTTGCTGCTCGAATGCTTCTCCTCTCTGCTGGTTCTTCTTTGTCGTGTCATACTTCTTCGTCACCCCTGACAGCTTGGCGATCTCGAACTTCTTATGATCATAGCCATTGGCTACGTCCTGTTCGTGGACTTCTACTTCGAAGTCTGACTGCCGCATTTCTGGTTCTTTGAAGTCTTTACTTAGCCCTGCATCCTCTCTTTTATCTGTCACTTCAGACGAGCAAGAGGACGATAGGCTAGATGCGCTGCCAAATCCATCGGTTTGCTCTTCTCAGGGTCCTTCAAGGTCTTCATGCTAGCAGGTTCGTTGGAAAGATCGCAATAAAAAATCGTAGTGATTCAAGGGTTAGGCTGGGTACACCTCGATCTCTCAAACGCCGATAGATGTTACTGCTCTGACGGGGCTTTGTTTGGCGCGCTACTGATTCGAAAGTGCAAAGTCCAAGAGTAGTGATGTACTGACTTCGCAAACAAAAATTTGTGAGACACGCACTAATGTAATTTAGTACGTAGTTGTAAGAGGACGCTGCTCACAACAGTCCCTCAGACACAAGATACACGCTTTTGCGACGAGAAAGCGATTCCCGACGTGAAGGAAAAAGGATATACCCGACTTGGAGGGAGAAGGACTGTCCGAGGGACTTTACCGACTTGGAGGGAAAAATAACGACATAAGGGTTTGAAGTAAATTTGCAATTAAATTAAAATGAGCTTGAGCTACGAGCGAAATATTTTCAAATAAAATTTTGGGCTCCTATGAGCCTAATAAATACAATCGAGTCATTCATACATGATCTGTGGTGTACGGAGCTTGGACTTCAGAAAGCTTGGACTTCAAATTTTGTGAAGAGTATTTATTAGAAGTGCTTATGCCACCCACTACAAAAAACGAATCACGTAGGTCTTGTTGACACCAACAAAATTTTAGTAGGGACAGCATTAAGGTACACAGTAAATACATTCCAAATATCGTTTTATCAATATACAGTAGTATTTTATATTGGATAAATTATTTTTTATATCTTTGTATGCTTATCAATGCAAGGTGCCGTCATGGGAACACCAATTGAGTCTGCACAGTAAGGTTTGACTTACTAAACCCCTAGATAAACAAGGGAGGATACTGGAATCGGAGCGAGACGCACTGAGAGTAGAGTAATTCTGTCCCATGCATCAGCTGTGACGATGCACAATGCATTGAAATTGAGCGGATGTTATCACTACGAGTCTCTACAATGCATACGTGTGGTAATACTTTGTGAATGGCCATATCAGTGGCATCATATATACTTCAGCCTCTTGTTGGAGTATAACTGCTCTGGAGCAAGCGAACAACTGAATGTATCGGAGACGATTGCCGCGAATTTTTCCAGTGATTCAGGGATGGTCAAGCGGCCTAGAGTATTGGCTTGTATACATATCCACTCACTCAAACATATTCGTGTACGATGCATGATACGACTGTCACGATAGCTATGCCATAGCTCAAGCGTCAGAGAATCCTGACCACAGGTGACGAGCATCATACAAACTTCGGATGATCCGGCGTTGCTAAACTAGGCTTAGGATTTGCATCTTGCGACACATCACGGCTTGTTAAACTTGATTGCCGCTCAAGTCTTGAAGAGCTTCTGACTCTCCGCATCATTTCGGCAACGGTCGAACCTGTTGATTACTTACATTGATCGTTTTGAAAAAAATGCGCGATATTTCCAACTTAAGCAAAGCAACGTAATTCCCGCAAAGCATGATCACTGAGATCCGAGACGAAGTAAAGCTTTCACATATTTGCGCAACGACTAAGGACATCACGTTTGCTCATACACAAAGTAGCAAGTGTTATTACGACATGAAATATAATCGTTTAGAAACTTGGCGCAGAAAACAATTCGTCTTCTGACTAAAAGTTTTCAAAACAATAAATCCGCCGAACGTTCAGACAGTATCTTTCGATGCAGAGAAAGGAACCAGAGCATATTTTTTATTAGTTCAGAACGCCTACTACATGGAGTTTACAGGGTCGTCAGTGTGGCGCTCTCCAGCATCACTAGTGGCTGATACACAGCCTTTAAATGGCATTATCGCTGAACTAACTATTCAAGTGCATGTGGACTGACTTAACAGCCGCTGATCCAGCAGTAACGAATGCAAGAACTACTCAACGAATATTCGGAAGTGTTTCATGAACGCGTTATCACCCAGAAAAGATTGAGCTCAACCGAGAGAATTGGCTGAACTACAAAGATTCGTTCTGACTGTCGAGGGCTGAGCAAATGAAGACTGCGTCACTACTGCGAACGAAACAGGTGAAATTCGATCTGTACAAGAAGCCAGTGTGGCATGACAAATGAGCGTGATTTTCATAGCGCTTCAAAGCTGAAAACCTTTCCGGCAATATCACTTAATCAAGCCCAAGATTTTGTAGAGTGACAATGAACCAAGTCGAGTTTGCACGAAGCATGGCAAGTGGTAAGCATTTTGACCTTTGCAAGCGCAACAAATCAAACAAATTAACGGAAAGTCAATTGACGTGCTGACCATTTCGTTGACTTTTTGAAATCTTTGTCAACAAGCTAACGACTGAACAGTATAATTTTCAAAGAGAAAACTCAGCAAAGCGCACATCTTAGTCTTGTAGTTACAACGACTTTCCTAGCTTTCCAGTTTTCATATATGTTCTACTTCTTCATTTGATGCTAGAATTTTTTCTAGTGCCACCTCTAACTCGGCTTCAGCAGCGCCCCATTCTTGTGACAAACTTATCCTAATGGAATCCATCTCCTTAACGTCCACAGTCGAGTGACAATCTTCAAAGCAAGCTAATCCGCGAACAATCTCTGCAAGGTTTTGTGTGACAAGCTTAGCCAGCGCCATGTCGATCTTCGTTGAAGACTGGAAGCAAATATTGCCCACACTAGTATCCGGGTGATTTATAATGTCCAGCACATAAGCTCCGCCATCATGTGCTGCAATGCGTGACTCGTTTTCATGCACAAGCTGCTGGTCACGTTGATGCAGCTTTGCGTACACAATCGATAAATTGCGATGAGCTCGTGCGCGACCCAGTCGACAGTCGATCTCACTAGCTGAACACAATTGGAGATCACGGTAGTGACAGCTTAACGCACGATCGAAATTATGCTCGACAAGCGCCAAATTGCCGAGATTAGCATACACGCGAGCTTCGAGCTCTCGATCATTCTCGTCTTTCGCAAGTTGCAGCGCTTCTTGCTGGTGTTTAAGAGCTGATTCATAAGCATGTGCATCGAAAAGCAGCAAACCCAGTGCTTTAATGGCTCGAGCTTGCAAGCGTGAATCTTTGGCCTGTTTAGCCAACTCAAGCGCTCGTCGTTGAGCTGCAAAAGCGTATTTGATGCAAGTTGGTTTAAACTTACTATCTTGATAGCCAGAGGTGACCACAAGTTCACGTAAAGCCACCCCACGGTGATGATGTAGTAAGGATGTCAAGGCTAAGGTTGCTGAAGTGGTGTCCCGAGCATATTTGATAGCTTTCAGTGCTATCGCAAAGTGCTGAACTGCAGCCAACAGAGCAGGTGGATCTGCATACAACATGAATGATCCCAAAGTAACGTGCTTGGCTAATGTCTTGAGTTTTTCTACAGACGTGTTTGAAGGCCGAGATGCTGCTTCTAACTCGGTCAAGAAAAAATTGGCATCTACATCCTCGTCGGCTTCCATTTCCCATTGTACTGCTGAAGATAGAGAAATTTCAGGCTGCCTCAGTTTAGCCATTAGGTTTTCCGTGGAGGATGAACTTCGAAAAGCAGTCATCGAACTATCCATTGTTCTACGTCCATATAATGTGGTGGGTGCTGTAGAGATCCGAGTAAGAGTTCGAGTGGATTCTTCGTGATCAATTCGTTTTCGCGCAAAGTGTGAGCGAGGACGTACATCCGCACGAAGATTCATATAAAGTTCCTTATCCATTGCGCTTGGCACTCTTGATGTTATAATTTCTGACGATGAACGAGTTTTACTCATTGAGATTGCTGAGGGACATGACATTGCAGCCCCAATATCATGATTCTGTGAAGTTTTTCGACTTAATTCTATACGAAGTGCAACACGTCTAGAAGGGGGACGTTGTGAAAGTTTAGAAAATGATGAATGACTTTTGTTTAAAGGTGCCAACGTCGTCACTTCTTGCTGATTTGAAATTTTCTTGAATGTACTTGTAGCAATTTCTTTGGTCTGTTTGTTCATCGTCTGTGACTTGATCTTCAACAAATGATTTCGCAAAGAAGAGCGAGTGGAAATTCCGTATCCATCTCGTCTTGAATGACCTTCTACTTCTTTTCGTCGTTTTTGAGAAACTATCGTCAAAGTGTTTACTTGAACATGATGTTTCTGTTGTTCAGCGAAGAAATGAGGATATAACACTTTCACATCCATTCGAGGCCTACTACAATAACAGAAATATGAACATGGTTGTGATCGTGCTTACTAATTATTTATAAACTATTATAAATAAAATCATGTATTAATAAAGTATTCTGCTTAATAAATTTCAAAAAGATTAAAATACAAATATTTTTCATTAGCAACGTTTATATCAAATCTTATAATGAAATAGCCATACGATTCTGCATGTCGAACTACTTAGCGTCGACTTCAAATTGATGCACAGCTATCACCACAACTACAACTCACTAATCGCAATACAAAGTAGTTCAATCCAATCAAGTATTTCAAGCAGCCTTGTTAAAGTAATCAGCCGAGTCAAAAGCTTTTCGCTCTGCTAATTTTTGTTGCAATACCACATTCCGAGCTATTGCAGCAGGTGAAGGCGCTGAATTTTTATCCAGTCCGTAACGATCGCAAGTTGCCTGTGGAGAGCCATTGGTTCTCACCTGGTTTGCTTGACCATATCCTTTAATTCCAGCATATCGTGCAGCACGAGCGGCCATTGCAGCCTGAGCTGCATTCGCAATGACTTGATTTGCAGGTGAAGCAACACGACCACTTGGAGCTTCAGATAACTTAATATGTTTCACTTGATGGTCAATTGAGGCTTGAGAAGCCCCTAATGTACCATAACGGGCTGCTGTCGCTCCGAGGTCGGCACGACTGGCGCTGACATCAGCAGGCACATCAGTAGGTTGACCCTGTTTCTCCATCGCATAGTCTGCTGAGTCAAAACGTTTTCTTTCCTTTAATTTACGTCGAATGAGCACGTGAGCCGCCGACAATTTGCCATAATCAGAAGCTCCGGTATGTTGCGGCTCAAGATTCGTTGCATCATCTTCGTTCTGTTGCTTGTCCAACAAATCACGTCGATTAGGCTTCTTTCTACTCTCCAATGATCCGTATTTACTCGCACGACTAGGACTCATATTAGCAAACTGACGTCGACTTCCATTCGCTACCGACGTTGCGCATGGTGAGCTCACTGGCTCATTCACTCCACTCACGTCTTGCATGGGCGTATCCTCCATATGCTCAGTCGATTGTTGTCGCCCCTTGGCCATTTGATAATCTGCCGAATCAAATGTTGTTTTGCTCTGAAGTTTGCGTTGAATGAGCACATTTCGAGCTTCCTGAGCGCCTCCTAATGGTTCATTCATTGCCGCAGGAGTGTTACTTTGTATATTTCGAGTACTTTTCACACTGTCACCTTGCATAGCATTAAAAAATGCCGATTGACCAATTTGAGCTGGAGAATAAGGACGTTGACATGTATTCTCCTGGACAGGCAGAGCTTGAGTGGACATTTGATTCCGTGGTGAAGCCTGAGTAGTCTTCGTTGACTGAGACTGAGACTGATACCGACTGGCGGCACGAGCTGCTGCCTTTTTCATCGCATCGTCCGCCGAATCAAAGCGTTTTCGCTCGCGCAGTTTCTGATGCAGCAGCACATTACGTGCAGATAAAGCACCACCGTCTTCAGCCCCACGTGCGTTGGCAGGCGGGACTTGTGCCCCAATTTCCAAGTCCATGGCATTCCAAGCTGCGCGATTACTGCCATTAAGTCGTGCCATGCCTCGTGAAGACGATAGCATCGAGTTATCCTGTGTCTGGTATTGACGGTAATCCATTGGAGAGATACTTGCTGGTTTGTTTGGTTGAGCTCCTAGGGAGAAATGACCTCTTTACGATCCTTTCGCAGTGTGAGATCCAGCGAAGTTTGAGGATTCCGGGAAGATGTCCTAATTTTTGCACAGACTCTGGGGCATATGAAACGGCCCACTAATTTTCCGATTTACGCGGCTTTTTTCATTTCATGCCACTTTCGGATAGTCTAATTTTGGATAGTAGTGACGACACGTAGACTAAGAACAATTACCTCTGTACTTAACATGTAGCCATATAGAGAATAGAGTGTGACGACTTCGTATCTCCGCCCAACGCATGAATGTTAAGCGGTTTGGCTTGACGTGTCCCGTAAAAGAAAAACAACTTGGAAAAATAAGTTTGTGGTTTTTTTGTAATAAATGAGTATCCTAATTCTGAGGAGGGAAAGAGCGTAGTTGTGGTGCATCAATGCAGGATTTGTGTAGCTCGGCAACTGGGTAAATTGAAATACTAGAAATTTTAGGCCAAAAAAGATAATTTGGCGAAAACGACAAGATGAGACGGAAGTTACGCATCAAATTTCCACCCAAATAGACAAATGTGCTACAGGCTGCAAAGTATAAAGGTGATGACTATATTTTGCATATCTGTGTCGTCAAATTATTATCATTCATTTTGCAATGATGGTGAAAAGTTTCTTTAATTTTTGCTAGAATAGCGCAGCCATTCTAACAGAGGGAGAAGTTGAAGGGTTGAAGGCTTCATGTGTTCATGGAAGGGTTCTGGTAAGGCGCTTGATAGTGACATCTATCTTTCTGAAAGCATCCAGATCGTTCCTGTGCTCTGAGTTGGAGCTATACATGTCGCTAAAAACGCCGTTCGAATTTTCTGAAAGGTCACTGTGATCAGAACAAGAGTGGCTCGATAGGTATGGCGAACGGTGGAAATCCACGGGTTGCAAATATTAGCAGTTGTCTAGTCCTCAAGTCTTCTTTAATAGGATGCACTCAACCTCAAGTTATTCAGTTAGGCGTAAGCCAACAAACCTGTAGGTAGGATGTGATCGTAATATCCTACAGAAATTAATCTCTATAGTCAGTACCTTGAACATTTATATATTGTACTGGACTCGTAAATAGGTTTGATAGGTTTGCGGATGACGCCATGAGCCTACGTATGATCATAATGGTGAGATAGTCACGTTTACGAAACCTTATCATCCAAATTCCTGTAAAATTATAAGAGGCTTGTCCTATGACTTGACAAGCTTGAGCAAGTTGATGTTAAGTGCTTGTAGCTGCGCGACATGTTTACGATTCTTATACCAACAGCCAACGATAAGCTCTGACCTCGTGAGCGTCAGAAAACGCTTAAATATTAAGATATTGCACTAAATATCAAGTCTCTAACCAATCTGAACAATACTAACACACAATTATTTGATTTTACTATTTCGGTGCATTAAGTAGTTTAAAAAGTAGTTGTAGTTACCACGAAAATTCTCAGAACAATGCAAATTTATTTGTTATTTCTAAATTATAAATGTCACCATCAAATTCTGTATCCCCTCGTCTGAACTGATTTAAACGAACCAAGTACTACGAGGAGCGACGAGAACAATACATTTACTTCGACATCATCATCTTGACAAATTCCTCGTAATTGATCTGTCCGTCGCCATCGATGTCAGCTTCACGAATCATCTCGTCAACTTCTTCGTCTGTTAGCTTCTCCCCCAAGTTGGTCATGATGTGACGAAGTTCAGCAGCCGAAATAAAACCATTTCCGTCCTTGTCAAACACCTTGAACGCCTCCAAAATCTCCTCCTCCGAGTCAGTGTCCTTCATCTTACGAGCCATCATGGTAAGAAACTCAGGAAAGTCGATCGTACCATTACCGTCCGCATCAACTTCGTTAATCATGTCTTGTAACTCAGCTTCCGTAGGATTCTGACCCAACGAACGCATGACTGTGCCAAGCTCCTTGGTGGTAATAGTTCCATCGCCATCCTTGTCAAACAGCGAGAACGCTTCCTTGAATTCAGCAATTTGTTCTTCAGTTAGTTGATCAGCCATGATAAGTTTGAGGTTCTTGAGTACTTTAAAGAGAGTCAAGAAATGAGACTTGGAATGTACGTCGAGATTTATTTTTGAGATTACATTTGGCGCTGTGAGATTGGCTAAAATAAGGGTTTGCACCTGCATTTGCGAAGTTCACTTATGTTTTCTATAGTTCTGGACGACCAAGGATTGTACGACCAAAAGGGGTGGGGTCTGGAGAGCTGTGCGTACAAGAAAGTGTGACCCACATAAATAATAGAGCTGCAAATAATCTGTTTTTTTTTATTTTTAATGGATTTTATTCACATAATATGTACAGTAGCTGATATTATTGAAAGCTTAATCAATTCTTTAATTTTACTTACCGTAGTCAAGTACTATATTAGTCATATGACAATACGTTAGCAGTATTAGTAGAAGGCGAAATAGTAACAACTACTTTTAAGGAGATCAACAGTTTTACTTTGAACCGGCGGCAATAACGACAACCAACCGGACTGAATATTACAAAGAAAGAAGGTATGGGATAGTGGGGGACCAGTAAGTACAATAAAAATGCTGAAACGATAAGCTATAACCGACATTTTTAAATAGTTGTTAGAACCTGCATGTTTTTAGAGCATGTTATTGTTAAGATTTCGCAGTTTTTTGCTGCAGAGCATATGATAAGTTTAAGCTCATATATATCCTACGTTATCATTGGTAAACTCTCTCAGAGAGACCAATGGGTTGTACAGTTAAAACTTTGCCAATGAGTGTAACGGGGAACAGTACGTGCACTAGTGTATGCAGTCCGTAGCATTATGCCTATACAATTTTACGAGATTCACGTTACAATTATGTGTATTAATTGTATCAACCTAAGGAATCTGCACTAATGGAGTTATTGTACACCTGATATTTTAATACAATTTTGCAAAATGCAATATTGCACGAAATTTATTATCACATGTAGTAAAACAGATACTTCGTATCAGTTATAAAGGAATTAACCATAATTTTTTAACCCTATATAATAGCAGAGCAACCATGTAAATTCAGGCTCTCACTGCACTCTTTATTGGAGCGCACGAACGCAACCTCGTTTGTTACGGCAGATTATTTGAGTCAAAGCTACCCTCTATGCACGAAGCACAGTAGCTTGAATGCAAGTGGTGGGACTTGTTATGCATTCGGCGACCGATTCTAGGAGGGACTGTCGTCTGTGATCGGATGGACCACGAAGTATTTGATTCTTGGAACAAAGCAACCAAACATACTTAAAAAATTGTTGGTTCCCGAGTGAGTCAGAATAGTGGCCGTCCAGGGGAAAGATGCGGCGATCATTCATCTGGAGGCGGTTAACGACTTTGTGAATGCGCTGATATAACACCTGCAGAAGACCTACCGAAAGGTCGCTGATTCCAAGCATTCAGCCCTTTGGAGGTGGGAGAAAAAAGAACCTCTCGCTTTGAAGCAGAGAATTTGACATGGCTATGAATTCAGCCAAGCTCCAGATGGAGCAGCAGCATGTCGCACTTACGGTCTTCATGCAGCGACGCCACGCGCAAAATTGGACACTTGCGTTCAATACCTGAGCGAAAGAAGCAGATATAACGTAAAAGGCTTTGAGGCGATATATGTCGCGGGAGTGCGCAACGCCTAATCAGGTGTGACGGGTCCTTTCCAACTCCTTGTCCACCCGTCAAGGGAGGCAGAAACTAACAAACTATGTCTAAAACATTACATTCTTCTATAGCCACGATGGCGCAAGATCCTCACCCAGAGAATATTCACACTTTTGACATCACGATAGGTCTCTAAACGGGTGCAGCGCCCTTCAGCCTTTACTCTTTCAGGCAAAGGATGGATTTCATATTGATGCGTTCCACGAGGGTCGGATGGGATGCTGAGAGTGGAAGTTAATTTAACGCGTCTGAGGCGGTGGGCCTCAGGTGCAGCGGGGCTGCCGTAGTTCTTTCGCTTAATGGAAGCTTGGTTGAGGCCGGTGACCGTTGTTCTATACTTAGAGCCAGTATGAGTGTAGCGGATCGCAATCCACTTACTCAAAAAATCTAGCCGTAAATTAAGGCTAATTTACTCTTCAGCTTTATACGTAGACTGTATTTCTCAGTTTTACTTGCGGCAAAGGCGTCTATATCGAAATATATAGGTTTTCCTATATATAACGTAAAATCAGATTAAATGTATAGCTACTGGCTGTTCTAGTCACGTACTGACTTCTTGTCTAAATGTGGCCACGCCATTGTGTGGTCACGCCATTTTTTGTAAGTCACACCATCGTGTGATCACGCCATCTAGTATGACCTACATCCTTTCTACCAGGGCACGTGAAATTCCGTTACATCAGCCATGTTGAGAAGGAATAGAAAGGTCTTGGTAGCGAGCAGGTTTGTGCTATTCTCATCTGCTTCATCTGTTGTGACATAGATCAGGTGCGCCTTGCGTGGGAGCCCAACGAATTCCTTGCAAAAATTGCTGACTTTAATAAATACATGGGAACTTACTAGTAGAATACTACACTTGTTGTCGAGGCTGAGGCTCATAGCCTTGAAGTGTTGGTTGTTCATATTATCGCCTTAGTCATTGTTGAGACGTTGAGTATCGTGTCATAATGAACGACGTGCAACTGCCGAAAACAGTAGATATTATGCTGGGAAATTGAGATGCATAAAAATTATCCTCAAGGATGACGCGAATACTAATTGCTCTCTTTGAATGGGATAGCACAACGTCGTGGATGAGAAATCCTCGCGCGTGATTCTCCTGGTTCGGAAAGTACGTCATGAGAATGACTTGGTTTTCGTAACTACTTATCGCGTCATATGTTGATGCATGCATGTGCGCACATGCGAAGGACAACAAGCTTCACCCTCGTTGCATGCACCGGTGCCTTTGGCCAATTTATTGGTTCCGGGTGAAAGTCGGCATCACTTCGGATTTTTAATTATAGTGTACAAAAGACGCGTCCGGCAACACTGTCATCGTAGTCTTTGTAGACCGTCTGAGCACGATGGTAAATCTCACAGCTGCCAGTGGATCAACTTTTGTGTTATCAGCGAGGTTTGGCGAGATTTGCTCAATTCGCTATGCGCCAGGTGAGACCTGGCCATCCGCAAACAGTTGATACCTTAATCGTGGGATGAACGGTCTCCTGCGAGGCAATTTAAGGCAAAATACACGCGAATCATCAAGCGTTGTTTAATTACCTAAACATGCAGTCCCTGATATATGTGTGACTTAGCTGCGATGAATTTGCTTTTAGAACTCCGAAGAGAATGTGAACACATATTCAGTTATACGTAGTCTTGCTCAAGCCACATCATGATCCCGCTCTTACAAATCAGTCGGATGTGGATCGCCATATTGTAGACGAAGCAGCGTCTCTTTCATCTCGCGTTGCTGACTTACCGTCTGAGCTAGAGCAATACAATTCTGAGCCACTTGAGGTACGCAGTGCATTGACGGGGCTCAGAGAAAATGTCCAACATGTGATCCATCTAGGTCATGGATGGACGCGCACCGAGCCTCTTGGAGAAAGTCGAAATGCCACCGCAACGAAGAGAGTCTATGTAAGCCAGCTGTGGAAGGGTCATATTTCACCGATGCTGTTCGATGATGAAGGAGAGACTTATTATCACGTGAAGCGGTAGCAAGCCAGCGGGTGTCACACGGCTGTTACCAGTATCTGGTCGAGAGGATGACATACCACACTCTGAACAAGAATGATTTTATTAGTTTCCAACGTGAGCGTATGTCTCTACTTCATCAAGTTTGCAGTGGCGTGGTTGCCGCTAATGACATGGATCACAATCAATTATTTTCCGACCTTGTCTGAAATAAGATCTCTGATCGGTAACTGTTATAGCTTTCTCATAAAGATTTATGGGCGTTTCCAACGCGCCATGGATCTCTGGACAAGCTGCGCACTACGTGCCTGTAATCTGAGACGGACTCCCTGCTGCACAGATCAAGACGACATCCAGCTCTTTTTGAATGACTTATAGTTAAATTAGTGGGCTGAACTTATCAGTCTGTATATTCAAGAATTGCAACGGATTTGTACATTATAATTATAAACTTCAGCTCGTCAGAACTTGCTCTTTGAGGCGAAAAATCTATTTGTCAATGCGTTTACGCTTCCAGCTCAAGCATAGAGCAATTTGACAGCTCAAGGGTTACCCCCAGATCACCACTGCTCAGAATTACTGCCTGTGCCTTAGCAGTAGCGAGCGGAAAATTTTTAACGATCATTGAGTCGTACCTAGGCTAGTGAATGCTGGCAAAAATGTCGAAGCTTATCGCACATGTTTTTCGCACTGGATAAGAAAGCACAACGCCACCCGGCTTACAGCTGTATATCTTTGCTTTGGTGAAGAAGATGTCGAACTGAAAGGTCGTCAAAATCTTGTCTTTGAAAACACAAAGCACGATGTGGACGTCGAGGTGAAAATCACCAACTTACATTCTTGCTGTCAGTGGCCCTGCATATCTCCACGAAATAGCTGTTACAGCTACCTACCTGGTACCAATAGAGGCGGACTGCGCTGTTTAGTTGACAGTGCATTCCGTCAGCCAGCCCTACTTCTTCTCCTATTAGGGGTTGCGCAACGTCGTACGGAGGCCCGGCGCTAGTGCAACGTTGCTGAATTGGTATCACAAAATACTATCAGTTTTCAAAGTAATATTTTTTCCACCAACCGGTCTCAAGTACACCCACCCGCCTATACTCCGCATTACATAAACACGGTTCACTTCTTGCACATCCAATAGTGCCAGCAAAGGACAAACCTCCCGCAGATGGAATTCATGAGTATTTTCGATCATGACAGCCCATTGACTGTCTATGAAAGCCTCGTTGTGCGGTCGATTTGAGATTAGCCATGACATGGCTGTGCTGTTTAAGCAACACCATTATACTAATACTTTAAGGGGCGCAGAACAGATACGCGCCTTTAGAGCAAAAGGAAATTTAGCTTAAGTTGATTCTTAAAATTACGGAGCGCTTTATAGCAGTTTGACCTGAAAACGTGGAATCGTAGTATGCCATATCAAGCCCATGCAGAACACGGGGTATATTCCCATTATCTGCAAGATATTGAGAGTGTAACTCAGCTCTTTTTTTGCTACGGTTATAAACAGGCCGATGTAATTGTGTTTTCAGACACACCATGATTAAGTCAGGCTGTCCGCATTGAATAAAAATAAAAAACCAGTACCATGACAATTGCAATTTGCTTTTGCACATCATTGCTGTCAGCCATAATGTCATGCACTCGGCGTATGATGCTCCATCTTATCATGATGCATTTTCAAATTTGCTATTAAGTGTAGCCGAACTAACATCAGCAGGTTACTGCTACTCCCATACCGAGATGGAGCCTCTTCGTGGCTGTATTGAAGGAATACAGGAGTTAACCAACTTCTTACATAATATGAAATAAGGCATGTCTCAACTATGACTTCGCATGCTTTAGACTGATCATTTGCGCGCCGCACTGGGGGCTCACCCACGAGAATAAGCATTTACACGCGTTCTGTAGAATATATGTCGTCTTCTGGAAGCGAACAAAGCAGTAGTTGTCGTGGGTGTCCCTCCATAACGATTCTACTCTTCTATTCAAGGCAAAGCAATTAATGTCAGCGCCACAGTCTGCTCACACAAATGTATTGGAATAAATTCCCCACCACGCGCTTCAGGCGCTCCATCTCACCATCTTTCTGCGAGTGGTCAGTAATTTACGTGTTCAATCTGGCACCTGGCGCCTTGAACAAAAAACGCCTAAATATGGTTAGAAAGCACAAAGCTTGATCCGAAACAATCATCACAGACATGTCATGATGGTGGGAACTTGGCGGTAGATGTGTTTAGATGTATCCTCACCAGCAACGGTAGCGCTGACAGCAGTAATGTGCCGTTCTGCTCAGACATTTAGAAAAAACTCAGTATTTCTGGTAGGTATTGACGATGTGTGAAAGAAGGCTGAAGAGCAATGATAATTTTTGGGGGGACGAAGTATTAGCACTATGCTAGAAAGGGTGGACTGACAAAAGGCACCAGAGCATACGACAAATTATAACCTATCGATACAATTCGCACGAGCACACATCACTGCGTACATGCTTACAGGGGATGGGCCGTCACTACACAGCGATAAGTGGTTTATAAGTCTTTGCTTTCCCGAGGTGACCACCCAAACGGTATTGTGTGCCTCGTATAGTATTCTTTACACGACGTCCTCATTATTAGATATAAAGGTGCATTGAGTATCACGTCAGTCAGTGCTATAATATAGCAAGCCTTGGGAGTAGAAATAGTGGGCCAAACGTTCAACGACTTCGCTCTGATAAGGCGGCATTAAGTTCGCGACCCCCTTGCCTGACAATGCTTTAAGCGGTGTACCACATGTTTGTGATGGGCTACACTTAGCCATTACATGGGGGTACCTTCGATATGCATTGTGGAATGTATAAAAGAATATTCCGATGTGGTGGTCCCAAATGCATACATGACATCGTATATGAACTCGCAAACATTCTGTGTGATACAGACTGCTGGCTCCTACTTAGAATCTTTATTGGTGACGAGACCGACATGTCTCTGTTTCTTGAAGTGAGTGACGTAAGCCAGTCACTTCTACTGGATACTTTCCACAAAAGTTGACGTAAGCCAGTCACTTCGACTGACTACTTTCCACAAAAGTTGACGTTTAAGCTATTTAACGTTCAAGCTCCGTACACCCAAGATCTTGTATAGGTTGAAGCTGTGATCCATAAATCACGAACCCAAAATTTTATTAGTAAAACCGCTAGGGTGTTTTGCATGTAGCCCGAAACCATTAATTCATTTGTATTGCAAATTAGCTCATTCGTACCTCAAAAATACGTACTCAGCAAAATTGGGTTACATTTTGAGATATGTGGTGACGCAAAAACGCATGATCTGTATGAATACCACTGGCATGGGACCGAGCAAGGTACCATGAAGTTGACCGCAAAGAGCCCCGCAAATGTACCTCGAACTTGACAAGAGTATAATTCACAGCAAGGAGCCCCCCTCATGAACGGGATAGTTCCTGTTTGCCCCTTTGAGATGGCAAACTTAGCGACAACTGCTTGGGGTAAAGCATTCTATGGAAAAGCCTAAAGGGCCACAGACAACATATCCGGAAGAGAGGCAGAATCGGGCACTTATCGAATTTGCTTTTAATCCCTTGAAGGGCTTCACATCCCGGATCCATCCGACGTGCTTTTTAAAAAGAGTTGTGACAGACCGCAAGATTCTGGCGTAATATACATTATACTTTTGCAATTGTTGGCCAAGCTACAGTAAGCTTAAAACAAAGGCACTGGTTAATCTACAATAGCTTTGTCGTATGCAAGACCCGCCCGCACGCTATGCTTTCAAATGGTATTTCCAAAAAAGGGAGTTCGTAGGAGCAGAGGTCAAACTGTCCTTACAGGCAATTTGAAAATTTAAGCAAATGCACTTGAGCACTACTCACAAGTGCTTTACGCGGATGTTCGCATTGTCTTCGTCGTGCTCTGCAAAGCAATGGACGAATACATCGTTTTCAGAGGGCAGAAACGCTGCTTTCAAATGAGAGTACTTCAACATGTGTGATTGCATATCACTATCCCTGATAAACTGTTGATAATGTCTGTCAAGCATTTTCAAAGCGCAAACAAGGTACAGTCGACTTCTGTTATGCTCCACATCTCGTATAAAATGGCGTATGGGCTTGATCGATGGCTGCACTAAGCTTTTCAAAGGCATATACAGTTTACCTCTTGCGGTCTTTCTGACAAAGAAGTCGGCACCGACTGGGGAGATTTGCTATATCACCAGACCGGCGTCATACCGCGCACGAAAGAGCGTATATAGTACAACTTTAATTCCTTTGTAAGAGTCATTGGAGTGAAACGCAATATTTAATTTCAAGTCCCAAGTCAATCTCATGACGTACTCCCCAATTCGGATAATATACGCGTAGTTGGTCTTCTTATACCACGGCGCAATATTGCTTCCCACTCCTTGCACTCAATGCTCATCGTGTTCCTTAATGGAAGACTAATTCGTGATGGATGTTGAGCTCGGCAATTTCTCCGGTATCAACCGAAACATCTTGTTATCTTCCATGCAACTCTTTGCACATTTTTAACTAAAGATAACAAGGTGATGGCACTTTCTGTCTTAATTAACGAAGGTGGACTTGCGCTTCTAGAATTTGCGGTCGCTCTGCTCAGAAGTCAAGTTTTTTGCTATAAACATATAAAACTTCACATTTGCAGTGGGTACGTCACATAACTGTGTTGCTGCATGGTAAGAAGAATGCTTCGCTCCTAGGTCTAACACTTATACCTGAACTTACTACTTACTCTAAATGCAGGGTGCACCAGCTTATAGCTAAACCAAACGTCTCATTTGAGACACCTCAGTGTACGATCTGATCTTCCAAACCATATTGAATCCGCATATCACTGACGCTTCTGCCTCCCAAGCTTTGCTCAAAACACTCATAAAAAACTTTTACATCAATTGGTAAGTTTTCACGTCCTTATCCGAAGCTATTAGCATTTGATATCCGCGCAAAATAAGAATTTGCTTTCGGAAAGAGTAGGTTCATGACTCATCAAGCTTCACAAGGAAATAGTACGGCGACACCGGTCTCTTTCAGCTTTCAAATTGTCCATGGATCGCCTAATCAAAGCCTTGCTCTTTCTGGTATAAAATTGATGCCAAAACTAGGTATAGGGCGTGACAGCGTTCCACCCTTTCAAAGTCATCGATTTTTCCCTTAAGTTAAAACGTTTGACTCTTTCACTAGAGCCCCGTAGCACAATAATTGGACCCGGATTTGACTCCTTCAATGTCTTAATAGTGTTTCAGTTGTTTCTGACAGCCATACTCCGTACGTGATTGAACGACGCTCTCAAATCTTTCGGGGCTTTCTACGGTTCTATAGAGCGCGGAAACGTAGACGTGGACAACCAACAACCCTGGGCAAAGAGAAGGATCCAAATTAAAGGAGTCGCCTTTTAGCGAGGATTGCTTTTTTAGGCCAGAATTATTGTCCTCCAACTCCGCAAGGCACAATGAAATCCAAGTCTTTTTACGTAGCTCGCCCTGCACCATGGGTTCGTTGGACGACCAGACTTCTCCGCGGGTCACAAAGATTCCTGATTCACTGCAATAGTCGTCGCATTTGAGTGTACCACGGTGCTGATCGATAATTAGATTAAGGCTGTCTTCAATATCTTGATTGGACGCGATACTCTAGGCTAGGTGGTGCGAGCACTGGCGACATGTATCGCTTCAGCATTTATTATGTCAAAATGCTCAGCGGTAATGCACGTAATGGTTCATTCTTGCCCGCGGCTTCTTTGCCGATAGACTGCAAGCTTGACGCACTCGCTCCGTTTGAAATATGACCAAGCCATATTCATATCGACCAAATTTAAACAAAGATTTTTCCATCGTATAACACAGCTGGGCACTTGGCATCAGCTTCATCTCCGTTAGAGCTTACGCAGACGCTTGGTTGAGGAGCTCCAATGAGATCTCATATTTGATGGTGCTCTCATGGCGCATACCCCACATGTAAGCCTTGTTTGGTAAAAACAACTTGATAAGAGCGGTCAATATAATTCAACGAGTTAAGAACACACTTTCACCAACAACAAAAAATATACGGCCATGCTGTCATCATTTTCCCGCAGATTTGACTTCTTTACACCTTACCCAGCCTCTGCACAAGTCGACCACTCCGTGCTCGTTGCCGACGGAATAGGGTGCTACGAGACCCCGCTGCGGGCTAACGACAAATTCGACCGAGAATTAATATTCTCTTGGCCAAAAAAGCCGATTTAACTTGTCTGTAAGTGTTTGCAACAGTCGTAAAGACTTTCTACGAGATCGTTTGTCATTTATTTTACCACGTCTTAATAATGGAGTTTATCGACTCGGTTTATCTAAAGCTACCCCTGCAGTGACAAAGCCCTTATAGACTATGTTTGCGGACCCAGAGCTCAATAAATGAGCGATATGTGATTCCAGGCCTCGCAATTTATCATTTTCAAGCATGTTTGTTCCTGTTGGATCAGCTGCAGTTTGTAAATTGATCGTGTCTATGTGGACTATCCCTGTAACACTAAGGTCTGGCGATACATGCTTACTATGACCATTGGTGAGGTTCGCTCCGAGCTTTGCCAACCTTAAAGAACATGCGTCAGTTTCAAATTTTACTGAATGCTTGACTTCACGAAGTGCAAAGCCAGCATCGATGTCGAGACAGACACTTACCCTCTCTTCTAGTCTATGTCATAAATATCCTTCTTTATGTTCAAGCCTACATAATCGACAACTTTATCGAGTACTGCCTTGTTTAATTTATCACACACAAACTTTTAAGTAACAAATATATAAAAGAACAATACACTCATGGGTGATACTTGCCGTTTCGATGATACTCGCCGTAATCCCCAGTGCTACAAGATGAGCCTCATAGATCTAAAATCATGCTGAAAAGGATTGCGGACTAGATTTCTTACGAAAAGGTTTTGATAAAGATCTCAGTTAGTCGTCATAACAGCCAGAGTGTTATTGTCTCTCGAGTTTAGCAATGCAAAAGGCTTACTGGGCTCCTCGCACAGAAAAAAACTTGACTAGACGAGTCCGCATTATCTAACGCACAGGAAATTGACTTTTGACCACCAAATAAGCTTGGAATTGAATATGACGAGCATCAAAACCTTGTTTTGAACATTTTTATAATTAATAGATAGCTCTAAAACTATGTTTGTTTTCAAATTGTAGTAAATATATCAATTTTTATCAATAAAATAGTAACGAACAGGGGGCATGCCTTATAACTTCTCATCCAGGTTGAAAAGCCCACAGGTCTACATGTATTAAATTTTACAAAATCAAATGATGCAATGGAAGTTCAATTCCCTTCTGCACATGCTACTTCTGTCTCATGTGAGCGAAATTCACATCGAGGCTTTTCTACTAGCTTGTTTATTGTAGGCACCTCAGCAATTCCCCCGGCAAAGGCGCGATCGACACGTCCAATGGCCTACAAGCCATAATCGATGAGGCATTCATTCATTATCCCCGATGAGAATGGTCATGATGACTCTACAAGTCCCGCCTCCATACGTGCGCCTTCAACAAGAGACAAACAAAAACGTTGTTTACAGCCTAATAAAATTTTCTGAGATTGCCGCGGATCAAGGCTTCACCTCACACTGAAACATGTCGCACAATGAAAGCCCGTCTTCTGTAGCGTAGTGTTATGGGGGTCCTGCCTCAAAGTCACAACGACGACACAGATGTTTATTGATGACCAGGCGGAACGCGTGAATCACATTGAGTCTGATGACAATCATCCTCTATTTTGGGGGATGGCCAAGACGTTTTGCGGTCTCGTTGCAAAAGTGCTTCGGAATACGGCTTTTGCGCCGCAAAGACCGGCTGGAGTCATTAATAACCTTTTTGTTTCAATCACATTTGATTCCCTGAAAACATAATCACCACGTTCGACACGTTTAAAGCGATTTCTTCGTCTTTGTCGTCGGGGCATGACCGGATGATCCGACAATTTGCAGCCACTTCCAGTGGTTATGTGTACGAACAAGGACGCAAATAAATATAACTTCAACAGCAAACGCGCTGTCTGTGGTGGTGTCTGTGAGTAAAAGCTAAACCAGGCGCTTCCAAAGACGCTGAAACGGGAGTTTACGTGCATCACATGCGAATCGCCGAGAAGTATCAAACATTGCTTCTTCAGTGCAGGAAGCGGCTATGTTTTATCTCAGCTATTGACATCGTGGTGATAGTCCAGAAACTTGGATCAGCTTGCAATTTCATGCTTCATGAAGGTCGTAGTCGAAGATTCACAGTCTTTCAAATTACGTGTTTCACGACTGCCGTTTAGACGCAACATCAATGCCAAGCAATTCAATCTCAATACGTGATCTCAATGTCTGATGGGATGGATGACAGTTGAACACGCCGAATGAATTCACACGTGCTTACTAATTGTATGTATGTAGCCATCAGGACTTAACGTTTACTGAGCCGTGAACCGGTGCAAGCATAAGAGTCGGTGGAACTCTTTGTAGTATAATACAGTCGTGAATATTAATAAGTTCCATTAATAATTGCAAGTGGGGTGAATTTCTTACAAGTCTATGCCTGTGGGCCGCTTGCCCAATTTGAGAGCGGACTGATCGATCGGATGTTGCTCCGAAAGGGCTTTCTGACGCCACGGTACACCATCTCTTAATAGTCATTTGCGCCTAGAGCTGCAAGCACAGCTAAATCCGTGCCCTCGCTGCGTACCTGCTCTTTTTATGATTGCTTGTGAAAGTGCCACAGAGTACCAAACTCAATAAGTAGAGTCAAGAGAGCGAATACACGTAACTTCACCCCTTTCAATGCTTTGCAAGCTACCTTTAGTGGTGCAAACGTCCAAATAACACGTTTTTCATTTAACTAATCCGTAGATGTCAAGCATAATACAGACCATTACGTAAGCATATATCATCGTCCCTTATTGTTGTAAGCGACCCTGCTTATCTTCACCAACAATTGCCCTCTTAGTCTGTTCGCCTTTGGTATGTGCATGTTGCTTTTGCCAACCTGGCTCATTCGTTGCGTCCGGCACTCAGCTTTACAACACGAGATCTCATCTACAATTCTGCTAAAAATGAAGCCGGGTTGATATCAACAAGTTAAGGCGAATTGACATCCCTTCCTCACCAAGTATCCGTGGCGAAGCTAAAGGATCAGAGAAATTTACATATTCTTTTTCATTGGTCACACTGTTGAGGCCGGTACAGCGGGCCTCAATATTTCAGAGACAAATAAACAAGTAATTCCAGCACTTCGGTCTCCCTGCGTAAAATCTTCAGCGCAATGCCCCATCACTCAATTCTATCTGACTATTTGTTTGCGGATGACCAGCGATGGATATGGATAACCTAGTACCCATTATATTGATGAAGTCTGCCAACATTTCGCTGTAAAGCTTGGTCTCTTTTTGAGAAAATGACCACCAGCAAATTTTTGTCTGCGAAATCTTTGTAGCGAAGCGGATTAGCTGTATACACACCGGTTATGGTCTTGCCGACAACAGCGAGGTGAGTCGTTTCGCTCGGGCAATATACAAACACCTGACAGTCAGTAATACCAGTCGCTTTATTTGAGCGACCATGCATGATGTCTGTAGTGATGGACTGCCAACATTCTGCCGGAAGCGGTAGACTATCCAATGGTGCCGAAGTATTGAGTGATGTTTGACTTTTCAGCAATTATCCATTTAAACGTATTGAACCAACAGTAGAATGTGTCTGATTCAATTAGAAACGCAGTTGCACGTCTGGAAGCGTCACAAACGTATCTGACTTGATATCTTAGCTGCTGGCAACCTGACGAACGTTTGAATGCGTTAACTGTTGCTGACGCGCCGTATGTGCTTTCGCTGCAGCCACCTTATGTAGCATGTGCATCATAAATTATCGCGAAATTGAATGCCTTGTCACCAAACGTTAAAAATCAAATGGATTAGTGCTGTAATACAGCAAGCCATTAAATAAATAGTAAAGGTGCTACTGTGCAACAAAACACCTCGAAATGGTGGTATCTGATCCCAAACCTTGAGCCACTCCGAAGCTTTCAGCGCAACACATGTTGCATTTGACCCGAACGCTGTATTTTTTGCCACATCAATGCGCAACGCCACCATAGTGGCATATAGCAGTTTACGCTCAATCAATTCCAACACCTCATTAAGGCATCACGTCGACGGTGTATTCAGTAGAGAAGGATAGTTACCTTTCCGTTCTCTGTAAAAGATGCGGTGAGGACGTCGCTGTGCGCAAGGACTCCTGCGCTGTATTGGATCACGAACGGCTTCGAATTAAACAGTTATACTTCATAGCAGGAAGTTCCTTGACCCAAACTGAATATTTTTTAATAAAGTGGTGAGGCTCGGACGCAACACGATGAAACGGCTATAATTTTGACATCTTCCAATAGCAATTTCAGCTAATGGCAAAACGACACAGATGACAGGAAGAGGCGTGTTTATCAGGATCGTTCTTCCTATAATCGGGGCTTTCATGCAACTTTCTTCTCCCACAGCATTGAGGACCATCTCTTCCGCTGATTCTTAGCCTTAGTTGAGATCGGCGATTAGTCGCTTTTTCTCTGCACAGCTTACAACATTTGTGCAAGTTGACAACCAGTTCAAGTCATTTCTACAAGTCCATTTTGAATGGAGAGACTGGCAATTCTACAACGGCCTTGATTGATCTTTGCGAGATCTACACACAAATAATGTTCAAAACATTGCGACGTAGAAAGGAAAGATTGTCAGCGCCAAAGGCGCACTTGTATACGTTAACGAACAGCTTTCCCAAGGTGCGTAAACTCGAGTTTGCCCGCAAAAGGAATAATGTGGATATTTATATTCATTATCCCGTCTTCTGTACGACTATGAAAGAACGTACTAGCGAAAGATGGTTGTGCATAAGCACGATGCGCACCAGAGGATTGAATATCGCTGGAGCTAGACAGTGCTTAGGGCCTGATCTGCCACTACTCTGCGCAGTGATAGGGACGTCACCTACATTAAGCTTAATACAAGCACGGACAGTTCGCTACTTAACCTTGACGTTTTGACACAGAAAGTCGACGCAGTGGAAAGATGTATTCTTCCTTGCAAAATATGTTTCGCGCTACACACGGAGATAGGTATATGACATCACACTGCAACATTGATAAGGGTCGCTGTCTTGTGATGCGGTATTTGAAACCAACATCCAGGTCAGATTTATGACACAATCGCCGAATCAGAAGCAACATACTTGGTGGAGATCTTGTCACAATGTCGTGAATCCGTTTCGACAATGAAGGATAACTGCCCCACCTCTTACACTCAGTGTTTTAAATTACGGACTTGTGTATGCTTATTTATAAGTTCGGCTCTTCCTCGGGTACCAACCGTTACAGCTCAGAAACATATTCTTTCTGCAGCTCTTTGCAAAAAACCCTCGGACCAACACTTCAAGATTGGTGAGAGCTTTGCCGGAGGTTATTAATGAAGATTTGCGACACTTAGGTCAACCTCGGTCACTCCTATCACATATAAGTAATTACTCTCACCACGAGCTCTTGGAGCTTCACTGCTAGGCCATCGAGAGGATCGATTATCTTTAATAAGGAGGTTCTGGTACTTCGGACGTGGGACTTATAGTTGCCTATCCCCACCGACCTGGGGATAGAAGACCGTGTCATATGGGCTTTCTTGTTTGTCTTCACCGAATCTGACAAAGAAGCATAGAGCGCTCATACTCGCCTCCACCGACTCTAGTACAAAGGACACCAACTTACCGCTGTAATTAACAATTCTAACAGATATGCACTTTGGGGATCGCGATTTTCCATCGCCATTTTCGTCTCATCTTGCAAGTAAGGCTCGCGGTCGATTCTTCCTTCAGGAGTTTATTTGATGTATACAGCAACATTCATACATATTCTACGCCAAGCTTCCAAAGCCATACCCGCAACAATAGCTCTTCTGCCTTCTAGATTCAAAGCCCCTTTAAGGATAGAGTACATGTACAAATAATAGCATCCAGTTGATTCATGGCATATGGTGTTCCAGCCATGCCGCACCTCGGATGAGATTGTAACTCAAATCCAACTATAAGATGACAAAACGTTGCGCGCTGCCAAGTCCTCATTATTCACAGGAAGTTTAAGAGAATTTTTGGCATATTCCTATGTACAGATCTCGTATCCGTATTCGGCATCTTCAATTTCCTCCATGTACTGTTTACTTTTCTCGAGAATCGCGCATCTGCCTGACAATTTTCTCAGGCCCTGACGGTTTTAAAATTCGGGACAGTATCGTTGATAGTGAATTACCTTTGTGCTGTCAGTTCCATCTCTTCAAGTATATTGCACCGTAATGGGCTAGAAGAGGTACAATAGGGACCACTTCTTTCTTTTGTTAGTAGATCGTCTTGAGTCTACTTGGATTCGCAGAATCTCTACGAGGACTTTGTCGGATGACCCTGCGTGAAAATCCGACCCTTCATAAGGTTGAGCAAAGAAAAGAAAGCACACAAGACGCATAACTGGCGCAGAAGTACCTTGTTGGAATGCAACAGCGTTGATTGATGTCGAGTATAATTCAACTAGTACTCATTATTTCTGTTTAACTTTATATTATTAAAAAAACCTGGCTCGCACCCTATCTCCAAGACTTTTTGTCGACGCAACACATAATCGATGCTAGTAGTGCATGTGATATTCATCAAGTCTTATGATTTTCCGAAAATCACGTCGTCGCTCTTTTATCTGCTAGAAAGTCGACAACTGGAGCAGTTAATTTTGAGATGAATCTTTGATTCAATCTCATTCGAGTCCACAAATGCTCAAATCCGAATTCAGTCCACCGTGAATCTCTTTGTTTTTGAGCTGTGTACGCCTTTTAAGGAACGCTTGAAAGCCATCCATTCCTTGCAAGTCTTCTTTAGTCATTGGATTGCCTTCAAGATTTAATACCTGAACTGTCGAGCCTTCACCTAGCACCTCAGCAGCAATAGACTGTCCTAACGCGTTTTTTGACACCCCAACAAGCGAGTTCCGGCGTGCCGACAGTACTTTTAGCTTACTGCATCTTCCCAAAGTAGCTGGCAATTCCACCAACTTGTTTCCGTCAATGTTAAGCTCTTGCAACTCTTTCAAAGTATCTAAATCCAAGGGAAGAGTTGTTATAGCATTATCTGATACATCCAATTCCTGTAAATGGGCGAGGTCTAGTACACTGCGAGGAATCACACGAAGTTTATTGCCTTTAAGCGATAGCTTGATTAGATTTGGTGGCAGTGCATTGGGAATGTCTTCTAGAAGATTATTATCTAACACCAGCTATGATAAAGCAAACAGATATGATAAGTGAAAAGCTTTAACCAAATGCACTGAACAAAAATTCTACCGTTGTGAGTGCCTCAAGCTTTGACATATCTGGAAGCTCAATCAAAACATTTGAAGATACTTTAAGCGTCTTGAGTGCCAATAGATTATTCAAATGTGTTGGTAGCTTGCTGAGTTTATTACATGTGAGATCCAGAGTGCGTAAACTCGACAACTCCAACAACTCTTGAGGGAGAGTTTTCAGCTTACTATTAGAAAGTGCCAGTACATTTGTGGTCCTCGCAGTCTTAATCTTTTGCTGTTGAACGTTATGATTATTCTTAGGCTTGCTCTTTGCCCTCGTATGAGCCTCCAGTGCCTTGTTCGCCGTATTACCCATATTACTTTATTATACAAGTGCTTAGCAATTACTATTTACTGAAAAGTACTACTCTTCGAATCCAATGATTCTTGAAACATTAATGTCATGATTAGCAGCGAGTCTAGTGACGAGGAGCTCACAACGTTGCACCAAGAAGCTGTGACAACAGTTAAGTCTGTGCGAAAGATCAAGAAGGTCAAGAAATCGATAACTAAGGTTTCAACTGGCGTTACTGAGGTTAGTACGGATCAAAAACGCCCGTTGGAAGAGTCTGAAGACCCGGAACGTGCCCAAAGACTCAAACGTGAAGCGCGTAAAAGACGTAAAGTTGAAGAGAAAAAAGCTAGAGAGGCAGATACGAAGCTTCAAGAGAAGAAGCAATTAGATCATGAGCGAGCTGTTAAGGGACGTGCCTATACATTGAGTATGGCTATCCCTGGCTCCATTCTGGACAATGCTCAGACCAAGGAATTAAAAACATACTTGGCCGGTCAAGTAGCTCGCGCTGCTGTGATATTTCAAGTAGATGAGATTATCGTATTTGATGATCAATTGGGAAACAGTGTCAGCACTGGAGCTCCAAAGAAGCGAGCACAAGATTGTCATGTATTTATGGCTCGGATTCTGCAGTATTTAGAGACCCCACAATATTTGCGCCGTGCATTGTTTCCCATGCACTCGGATTTGAGCTGTGCCGGCTTATTAAATCCATTAGATTGTCCTCATCACCTACGTGCACACGAGTGGAGTGTGTATCGTGAAGGAGTAGTAACAGATCGACCATTAAAAGAGAAAGAAGGCTCGCACGTATATGTTGGACTACAGCGAGAAGTAGTCGTGGACAAACGTATTCAGCCTGGTATACGTGTGACAGTCAAGATTGATGAGGCATCAAAAGAGTTTAAAAAGAAGAGTAAGCATTGAAGATGTTAACATGTTTATAAGTTTGACGCTGATTAGCAAATGTTATTGTAGTGGTAGGTACTTTAGTTTCGTCAGCCGAACCTCGCGAGCAACTTGGCATTTATTGGGGATATACCACACGATTTGCGTCTTCACTGAGCAACGTCTGGACCAACTGTCCATTTCCTGGTGGCTATGATCTTAAAGTGGGTACGTCTGAGCGTGGTAACGTCTCAGTAGATGATCCAGACTTCACATTGCCAACGTTCCGCCACGCACTTGTTGTGTTTGGTGGCGTTGCTGGTATTGAAGAGTGTGTTGACGCGGATGAAACGCTACCAGTGAGTGGTGAGGACTCAAACACACTATTTGACATGTGGGTAAATACTTGTCCAGACCAAGGCAGTCGTACGATTCGGTCCGAAGAAGCGCTGCTTATTTCTCTTGCAGCTCTTCGATCTCATGTCAAACATAGTGGACGAGCGTAAGTAGAAGGAAAGCTGAATGCTCTAGCGCATTCAATACACTTTTTCTATTCGCCATTGCTATCCAAACGTTGGTCGTTTAGTTGATGGACACTTTTTGTAGCAGTGGAACTTGTGCGTACAGGAAATTGATCGATTTTTGCCACAGCAGCACAATTCCTTACATACGGGACAGCCGATTTCAAAGATTTGGTTTCCATGCTCTTCAATCATTTTTTCAGCACACTTTGCACAGAAAATATGTGGACATACTGAACACTGTACATTGTTCTTGCGCAAGTTTCCACATCGATGACATGAAGCGCGATGACGTAACATGTCGACGTATTGACCTTTATAATCTAAATTTCGGGGTTGATTCTCGAAAGATGTGTGTAAAGAGTGTGGAACAGCATTGTCGAGAGTAGTTTGGCCTTGACATCCGAAAGTGTATGAGTCCAGGCCCGTTGGTATGTGTTTGTAGTCTGAATCGCCATATTCTTGCAAATTATGAAACAGTGTGGGCTGCTGAAAACACGGCACATTGGATTGATATGGTTGATTATGCGTCAGATTCTCATCTGGATACTGTTGAAGGTGTTGCGGGCTAGTAGTATAGCTCGGCCAAGTAGACTCCATTGGTGTAGACGAGTTGAGATTACTGTAAGCTGTATAATTGAGATCCCAAGTAGATTGATTCTGATCATTAGAAATAGAAGCAGCAGAGTAGATACAGGTCGCTTCGCTTAGTGGAATTGGAGAGATGTTGACATCATTGTTTACCTCATAAGTCCTTTCCAAGTCTTCGAGACTGCAAGTAGGAACATCAAGAGCTTGCTCCAATTGACTTATGATTGTTTGAGCCTCTTGCTGAGAAGTGGGAATCCATGACATGCCTCTCACTATCTTCAATGACGCAGGTTGCACACTCCACTCTTTCAATCGTGGTAATGCTCGCTGTAGCACTCGACGCTCCAAATCGTTCACTTTTCCATTATTGTTAACTGCTAATTGACGGATGTAGTAACACACTGCCGTCCAGAGCTGCATATTAGAATCCACTGCTAGCCAAGTAGACGTTGTATCCTTCAAGGTATCGTGTTGCATTTCCAGTAGCACAATTTCCATCTGTGCTTCCAATGCTGCAGTGCATGCAAAATACCCAAAAAATAATGAACAGCTTTCCATTTCTCCAGCATAGCGAGCAAACATCCATCCAGCTGGTATTAACAGTGAATGACCGGTACGTACAACACATTTGATACATTTATTTACTTGTTCAGGTAAAAACAGCGTAACAAAGTCTGAATTTTTTCTCCACTTTCGATATGCTTCAAAATTAACTGACGTTGGTGGAATTAAAAACACCCATAGCTCACCTGATGACACAGAAAGCCATGTCGATTGACCACTTGGGACAATAATAAAGTCCAGATACGCATTCCTTTCAAGAAATGCAGCAAATATGTTGGAAGTAGCATCTTCTTTTGAATTGTTTTCGTGTATTTTTGACATGATCAACTTCTGCCAATCCACCTGTGTGACAGCAAGAGGTGGTGCGACTTGACATTGAATAGGCAGATTGTACAATTGAAATTCGACATTGATCAAAAGAGCATCATGTTCATTGGACTTGGACAGAATCGTTTGCCACATTGGTGCAGTCAAATGATAGTTTGACTGTGTCGCCACGTCAATGGCTCGTAATTCTCGATTTTGTGTCAATAAATTGGTGATAATCGTTTTATCAAGTACTGGAAATGGTTCATTTAATCCTGCAGCTTGATAATTGTTACCTGTTATAAGCACAGGCTCATCAAGAGCATTTCGATACAAAAAACAAGGTCGAACATCTTGACTTGAGACGACGTGTACTCCAGATCGAGCGTATATAGCTGTGCTTAATAATTGACGAAATTCTCGCGAACTCTTTACATGTCGAAGTTGTAAAGGTGTCGATGATTCATTGCTGCTTAAATGTATTGGTAACGGTGTAAAGGGCATTGAATGAAGGTCAAACGAGGTAGTTTCGAGGGATGCTAGAAAGAAGTAGAACATATTGTCAGAAAAGAGATAAACTGCTTTGATAAAATCAAGCGCGTACAATATTTAACCACTTCATGACCATGATGCTGACACTCAATACAAGCAAACTTAGCAATTAGCAGTGCATCTTGTTCACTTACTTGAGCGCAATCACCATGTAGCCAACGACTGCAGTAGTAACATTCGATCAGAAAGGCAGATGAGCGTGAAGTGACGTGCTGACCGCATATGTTGCAGCCCATCGTATTGGAAAGCATTGCTATTTCTTTAATAACTTGCACTCAAGACGGTAAATTATAGAGTGAATTACAGACAGTCTAGTAAGTGTAGCCAGGGAGGGTCTAGATCCAACAATATATATGATAGAGGCACATCTAGCGAGGAGATAACAAGAATCTGAGTAGGATACAGGTACTTCTGGACTGCCTCTGCATCTTTGTTTGTACATGTGTCTTTTTAAATGAATTGATGAAATACAGGTCGTGGGTATTATCATAATTCAGTAAACTAAAGTTAGTTGGGTGAAATTTGACAAAGCAAATGTACTTCATTATGAGAATTCACTTGTTTGTGTGTCGAAACGAAAGGGCATTAAAACAAAGCGTTTCATATCCCTCCGGGATAGGGGCATTCATGCAACTCTAAGAAAAATTACATGACGAATATATGAATTATAAAATGTCATGAAATTTAATATTGTATTACCAGTAACTCATGATAAGGTTAAAAGAACTTGAAAAATCTTGATAAATGGAAAGGACGTTTTGCTGAAAATTTCGCTGACATGCCGTCGTTAATTGTAGCTAATTGCACGTCCTTACTATAAGATGACGACAAGATGATGCTTGGACTCATGCAAGAAATCTGCACTTTTAATTACTTTTGAAAACCTGAAACAGTTTCTTCACTTGATTCTTCCTTCTATCATTCATGATAATTGTACCTTAGTATTTGTCTAATCTTGATAGGTCGCTACGACAGTGTAACGACTTGAGTCGAATATAATACAAAGTCGATTGTTCACGGACGGAACGAGCAGCATTATGATCATTGGGACTGGCAGTGGGCATCACCGCGTGTCGCCAGAGGTGTCGATGAAAAATCCGGATGCTACACTGACACCTAAACTTCCAACAAACGTTGCGAATTCTAAAAAAGGGCATTTAATGAACGGACCAACGCGCAAGTTCCCGTTCGAAAGGACGTTGACACCCGCTCAAGCCGCTCGAAATGCAGCCTACAAACGCGCTGTGCTAAGTTTGCTGGAATCGAAATGGTTTACTGTCATGATGCTCATTGTAACACTCTATGCTTTATTTGGAGATGACATTCGATTGTCGTTGTTTTCACTGCCAGCAGACAATGGATTTTATACCCTCGCTTCAATCTGTCTCGTGCTCTTTTCGTTCGAGTTTATAGCATCATGTTATGCTAAACCAGGCTATATCATGAGTTTTTACTTTTTACTCGATCTCATTGCCACGTTCTCCGTTCTACCAGATATTGGATGGATTTGGAATGAAATTATCGGGACAAACACGAGCTCGTCTGCAATTAAAGCTAGTAAGGCAACGAAAGCTGGTAGTAAAGCTGGACGAATTGTACGAGTTGTGCGAGCTGTGCGACTCTTTCGGGTGGTTAAGATTCTTAAGTGGAAAAACAGTTCCACTACAGAACCATTAGAACAATTACAAGAGAGCAAAGTTGGAAGTAAAATGGGTGAAGTGACAGTGCAGCGTGTTGTGGTCTTAGTGCTCTTTCTGATTATGCTTTTACCGGTATTTGATGGAGGATATACTCAGGTAGAATATCGCTATCAAGATTATGGGTTACGCATTATTCATATGCTCGTATCTTCGGGTATGTCGAAAGGAAGTATTGATAGCTCTACAGAGTATGCACGTCTTCTCTCGGGCTATGTGCAAGATGCAGGCATGCTTTTATATATTCAAATGACTAATGTCACGAATGAAAAGCTTTTGGCTGATATTGCATCAATTCGCTTTCAAGAATCTCCGAGTCTCCCACGTAATTTAAGTGTAAACCCAGTCAATTCTTGGTCAGCTTCAAACATGCTTGCAAGTTACTCTGCTGTCACTGATTTATATCGAGATGTTGAGATCAATATTGTTAAAACATATGGATGTTTCAACAAAAAGTTTGTCGCAATTGATTCCGCAGATGTTTCAAGTGCTTGTATGAGTATTGCCATCTTCGACATTGCGTCTACAAGTGCCTCCTCTGCTTCTTACAATATTTTAAAAACATGCTTTATCATTGTTGTACTTGTGGCTGCGTCAACTTCATTTATTCGTACGGCTCGCATCCTCGTGCTAGACCCAATCGAACGAATGATGGACGTTGTCAAAAAATTAGCTGCAAACCCACTTGCAAGCGTACAAACATCCAGGAATGATGCTTTGATTCGTAAAAATGCCAATGAACAAGGATTTGAGACTGCACTACTTGAGCTGACATTGTCAAAAGTTGGTCGTCTCATGCAGGTTGGTTTTGGAGCTGCTGGTGCCGATATTATTGGCAAAAATATGGGCTCGGGTGATCTCGATCCGATGCTTCCGGGCAAAAAGATCACTGCCATTTACGGATTTTGTGATATTCGCCAATTTACAGACACGACCGAATGTTTGCAGGAAGAAGTTATGGTGTATGTCAATAAATTAGGCGACATTATGCACACAGGTACTCACCATTATTATGGCATGGCAAACAAGAACGTGGGAGATGCTTTTTTACTATCATGGAAACTTTGCGATGGTGAAATGGCTTGCTTTTCACGGTTCACTGATACACCAACGGAAATAGATCGTCAACAAGTAAATCAATCGATTTTGTGTCCTCCAAATCTAGGTGCAGGCACAAAACCACGTCGTATTACACCCACAGAAATGGCTGATAGTGCACTTACTGCATTTATCAAATGCATGATTGATCTGGATAATGCAAACACGAAAGGTTCATTAACCGAATATTTGACAAGAGATGTCGTAGTTAAGCGATTTGGTCCAAATTTTCGCATCAAAATGGGGTTTGGCATGCACGTAGGTTGGGCTGTCGAAGGTGCTATAGGATCACGTTTCAAAATTGATGCCACATATATTTCTCCTCATGTTGAAATGGCAGATCGATTGGAAGCTGGGTCTAAGATGTTTATGACTCCAATTAATATCTCCCATTGGTTTGCTGCATTAATTTCACCTGCAGCTCGACGTCTGTTACGTAAGATGGATCAAATTAGTATCCGAGGGGTCGATACACCTCTTACCGTCTACACATTTGATGTCACTGTGATGAAACCTGGGTTTGGTACGCCTAAAATTGATTCGGTAACAGGATGTCAACTTCCTGTAGATTTTGAGAACGATCCCGAGTATCTGGAAATTCGAAAAGGCCTGGAACCAGCGTTTTTGGAAGCAGCCGCTAGCGCAGTAGAATCATATTTAAGTGGAGATTGGTCAAAAGCACGACAATATCTCACAACCGCTCAACAAATCCGACCACAGGACGGTCCTTGCAAATATCTCATGGAAGTGCTGAAGGAATACAACTATGAAACACCACGAGATTGGAAAGGATATCGATTTGTTGCAGGATACTAAACAATGAATTTATAATGTTGATTGATCGAAACATGTAAAACGTAATTCGCATCGACACTGTCCTACTCGAAGTGCATATAGGTGCAGGTAAATGTCGAGCCAATGTTTAAACGAACAGGTCATGTTTCTCGCGGTACACCTACTTCACGAAATGAGTTTCTGAAATTCTTGTTATTATCTGAAAGTACAATAAACCAATAGTCCTGAACTGTTTTCGATACCTGTTAGGTCATCACCTCATCGTTAAACTTCCGTAGCGAGGATAGGTGCGTTAAACTAGTGCATTTAGTCGCATCAGAATGATTTATGTAGCTTAAAGAAGGATGCAGTGTACACCGATTTAACAAAGTTTGGATGATACAGTGGCTACGTAAAGGAGATAGTTATTCGTTAAGCTGATTGTTAGCACGAGAGCGTAAAAGTCTGGAAATCAGATCAGCAAGGGTTGCGTTGTTGTTAGCATATGTGTTGTATGTAGACATATGATACATTTTGGAGCAGGAATTTAGTTAAAGATGTTCATTTGTCAGAGCATATGAAAAGAATCTACAAATATATCTATATCTTTGCATCGAGATCTCACGATGTCTTGATAATGTAAGTAAATTGGTTACGATAAAATTAGTTCAACAGTCCACAGTCCACCCTTTGGTTTTTCATGGCGTCCGTGGTGCCACTACCTCTCGATATCGACGACTTACCGTCTGAAACACTTACAGAAGTCCCGAATGTATTCGCAAACTCTCAAGAGGTCCAACGTTCCATTAAACGAGCAGGTCAAGCACTTATTAATGCTTTTGATCTCTCGTCCTTTTCGTCAGAATGTCAAGGTGCAGTTGCTACGATGGCGGCATCGGGTCATGCTCTTGAATTACGATTTTCAGATGAGATCAAAACTGCTGGTGGACTTACCGTTTTGTCTCAACACTGTACATTAAGGCACTTGGCTGATGTTCGTATAGCAATAGCTGACTGTGCCACTGCCACGAAATTTTCGCCGCCTGTTGTCGAGTTACTATCGCTTTGGTCGGTTGTACATACATCTGTGACCGATGTACTCACTCAAGTCACATTGCTGTCAGCTCCAATCTTTAATAATGGCTCCGAAATACTGCAAACTCTTGAACATGGTGAAGAAAATGCGAAAGCGATCGGCAAGTTCTTGGCTACTGCACTCACTTCCTCGGATCTATTAGCTTTAACTTCGGATCACGAATTAATTCATGCTCTTCATCATCTTGTCGAAACGGGGCAGCCAATAGCAGACGATATTGTTCTTAAATATCATCAACACATGGCTAACATTCGCAAACTTCTATCCGACCACGACTGGAACATATTTCAATCACATTGTTTGAAGCCATTGAATTTATCTTTGCTAGCAATTGATTCAACAATAGTTGAACAAGCAAAGGAGGTCACAACTTTAATCATAAAGACATCAAATGATGTTTTTGACTCGCCATACACAAAGTTGATTGTTACTCAAGGCTTCGCTAGTCTTGACGAAGTTTTCAGTCAAAATCGAGATGTTGTCGATGCAGCATTGGAAACAATTCGAAACGGGGGTACCTCAACTTTTGGTGTAGTTGCAACATGCTTAAGTCGTTCTGGATTTCCTTCTCTTCTTCGCGTTGAGATAGTGCGGGATTTCTTTCAAACCGTCAGTCTTTTCTTTGCTGGACTGTACGTTTCAGTACTCGATTCCTTTAATCAATACCAATTCGCAAGCAAAATGAACAGTTTTCTAGACACTTTACATTCTTTGTACGATGTCATGGCAATTAACTTAGTGGCTTTAATTGAAAGGACATCACAAAGCCGAGCGTGGATAGCTGAAGTAGCTGTTTGGATTCTACTCGCTGCTATTACAATTGTTTACGGAAGTTTTCTGTGGTTTGCATTCTCTGGTCGTCATTTGCATCGTCGAGCGGACGAAGTGCGTCAAGGGCATGAAGCTTTAACATGGGCGCTACTCGCTGAGAAGCAAAAGATGCGAGTCCGAATCTTTACGATTATCATTACCGCGTGTCTAACAGTCTATTTACCTTTAACAAGACTTTGTTTTGATATTGTCATTGCAGCAGCGACTACGCATTCAAATGATGACAAGAATCAAGGAATAAATGCTTCAAAACTGCTTCTCTCTCGATTCCAACATGATCCTGCGTGGCCAGTTTTTGTGGTGATAGCCATTCTCTTACTCATAACGTTCACGATTCCACTTCCATATCTACTTATCCGAGCTATTGCAGAGAATCGACCAACGGGATCTCTTGAAAATCCACTTGTTACATATGATTTGGACGGAGAAATGGTTCCGTTCGACGATAAAGTGTACGCACGTCTTGTATCTCGTGATCCAAGTCAACTTCGATGTCCTTATCGCTCTTTATATGCTGGATTTGAACAACGCTGGAGCTACTACAAAGTGTTGCAGCTTATTGTGAAGCTCGCACTTGCTTTTGGAATTGCACTGACAACAAATTCAGATGTTCAAATCCGTGGTATCATATCGTGTTCGATCTACTCAACTGTTGTTGTAATTTCTGGATATGGGACCCCATTTACTGATCCTTTAAATAATGTGATGGAAATTAGTGGTAAGGTAACTGCTTTAATCACTTGTGTGGGTGGAGTTATCGTGGCTTTTATTAAAACGGACCAAAAACTACTTCAATTTATTACGGTGTTTGTTAGCGTGGTACACATACTCAACTTAATTGTTATGTTGCTTGTTCTTCTTCTTGGGATGAACGGGTTTCGACTGATAATCAAAAATCTACTTGGGTGGATAACCTTTAGTGATCCATCCCGCGGACTTGAAGATGTTTCTGCAAAGAGTATTTTACCTCGCTGGGATATTGATAAACAAGTTAAATATCGCGTGTGGCAGGCCTTCTGGCGTTCATTATTTCTCACAATGACGCAAAATACTACAATCAAACCTGGTGAAGTTACTGTTGTACAGCGATTGGAGACATTGGAACAAGCAGTTGTTGCATCAGGAATTCAACGAGTGAGATTACATTGGCATGGAGATGAAGATTCGTATATTTCGAAGCTTCGTTTGGTAGCACGTGCAGCATTAGAAGGGGTGGATGTGTTTTGGGATGACGCTACTGGAGCTCGAGATGGAATTCTGGATTCCAAGTCATGTTTTGGAAAAATGTACGTCCGTCCGTATCCGTTTCACTGCATCATGGTATACGACGATTCGAAAGACGAAACTATCATTCGAGATGAAGCAGATAGTTTTGGACACTCAACGTTGGCGAAGTTTTTATCGCTCAATTTTAGTTCTCGAATTTTAGCGAAACGAGCGTTAAGACAAAAACTTCGCGTGCTTAGTACAAAAGCTACAGCTGTCAACTTTCCATTCACTAGACAAGAACAAGTAACTGTTGACGATGGTACTATAACGAGAACTGATTCCGAAGGAAATACGCACACAGAGACCCGTTACTCCACCGTAACTTTTACGTGTAGCTATACATGTGGTGTACTTCACGTAACTACAAGAGGTGATAATAGCAAGCGAATAATGGCTGAAGGGTTTGATGTCACCATGTCGTATCGCGATGGACGTGGAGATGCTGTGGCTCCACATACGAAAAAGGTTCATCATCTCGAGAATCGAGTAGCAATTATGGGTATGGATCATATCGGTCTCACTTATACAATGGAAGAAAGTGAGCAACTTCAAATGATTTTCGAACAAACGAGAGATGTTTGGATTCCGGGTGTCATTGAATTACAAAAGCATTATCAAGACTATCGAAACGGATTAGATCGTAAACACTCACAAGCGAACTCGACACTGAGCGATGCGTTCTGGTTTTTTGTCTACAATAATCCCCATATTTCTCGCCAGGAGCTTCAGAATCATTTTACAAACCGCGAAGGAAATCCTCGCCTTCAATCACTCGTTAAGACCCACGAAAGCTCGCTTGATTCGCTTTATTTGCGAATGAAATATATCTATTCTCACCCTGCAGTCACGTTTTGGTTTGTATTCTGGGAAGATGTATACGCTCGGAACGGAAACATGAAACGAATTAAAGCGTTCAAAGCAGATTTTGATCCTAATCAAACTACAGCGATTTGCTATCATGTTATGCAACGTCCTGATCTCGAAGTTTGGTTGAAGAAGCGGCATTTACTTGGAAAGCGACGATTCTTTCATACGCATTTACTTGATCGGCTTTTCATTGAAATGGATAATCGTCTGGCAAGTAATTAAGAGTGCTCATTTCAGAGATCTTTGAAAGTTAAAAGTCGATGAAAACATGATTATCTAGATTATCTACACGATACAAGAGTCTAACAGATGCTGGCAACCATACAACGTGGCTTCAGCTGAACGTTGAAACTCATAACATTTCAGGATTTCTTATGCAATAGCTCGAAGGTAGTCCTGAGTGCCTCCCAACGAACAAAACGAGTAGAGGGTTATCAACTTAGATGACAATCTCCAATGGGGAATAGGCAACCGATGACGTGTACCCTTTTGAGGCTTGGGCAACGACTGGTGCAGATGTATGTTCAGAATCGGATATTGGGTAATCAGGTGGGGACGTGAATTCAGTTGAAGGAGACGGACTGCCGGGAGCAGTCGTGGAAATGGATGTTCCTTGCGAAGCGGGTGTCATCTCCGACGCGTCGGTCGGGGTATACATAGACTTAGAAGTGGACGTGCTTTCCGGAGTGTCAGTAAATGGAGGAGGTGCTGTTGGAATGGACGATTCAGGAATAATTGTCGATGACATCGGAGCGGGCGTTATGATGGGCGCATCAGTCAGGGTATACGTAGACTCAGGAGTGGACGGGCTTCCAGAAGTCGAGGTGGATATGGGAGCTGCAGTCGAAGGAAACGTCGATGGTTCTGAAGTAGGCGTGGCTTCTGTCGAAGGCGACGAGCTGTCAGGAGCAATCGTCGGAGTGGACGGAGTTGATGTTTCTTCCTGAGCGGGTGTAGTCTCGGGAGCGTCGGTAGGAACATACGTAGACTCAGGAGTGGACGTGCTTTCAGGAGTTAAGGTGGACTGTGGAGCTGCTGTTGGGCTGGACGTCGATTGAGGAGCGATCGTCGATGGTTCCGGAGCAGTCGTGGTTTCGGTCGAAGGAGACGAGCTGTCAGGAGCAATCGTCGGAGTGGACGGAGTTGATGTTTCTTCCTGAGCGGGTGTAGTCTCGGGAGCGTCGGTAGGAACATACGTAGACTCAGGAGTGGACGTGCTTTCAGGAGTTAAGGTGGACTGGGGAGCTGCTGTTGGGCTGGATGTCGATTGAGGAGCGATCGTCGATGGTTCCGGAGCAGTCGTGGTTTGCGTCGAAGGAGACGAGCTGTCAGGAGCAATCGTCGGAGTGGACGGAGTTGATGTTTCTT